GGTGGGGGGGGGGGGAGGGTTGGGGATGAGCATTCTGAAAGGATTCAGTGAATTTTTAGACCGTCTACTTTATCAATCTATATATATTTTTTTCAAAAAAGTAAGACAATATCGATTATTATTTCGCCTGTAAGAGTAAAGACCCCTTCTACATATACGTCAAATTATTAAGAAATTACCGAATTATAATCTTAAAGGTTCTATAAATTATTTTTCCTCTAAATCCTTACGTCGATATTTTGCCAAAGTGTAAACAAACCCAAATGCATCGTTTGTTTTAAAATTTCTAAGTGAAAAACGCCTAAATTTTGCAGTTGAGCGTTCTAATTGAAGTTGATCTGTCTTATACATTCTAATGTTCCTTTCGGAAGCAAGAGTAGATTTAGAAAAAAAAGGCTTGGCTAGGTGTCAGTCCTGCACGTCATGTTGGCTTCTTTGTGCTTCGTTTCACTTGTTCGTTGAACACCGGGGACCAGGGTTATTTTAAAGTGAATATGTAAAGTCTCTTCAAGTACACTGATTTTTGCGTAACCCTTTCAGTTTTGTTTGTATATATGTATCTGAATTTGTCTAAGACACGTGTAATCTTGTACACAGACCATGTCTTTATGTCGCTCCTGATTCTCACGCTTTGCAAATGTAAATTCTCATCCACAATTACGCCATGCATAAAATCTATTTTGGATTTGAATGAGTGGAAAACAAAATTTAAAAAAAAAAATGTTTATCAGCAAAACAAACAGGAACCCTACAAACACGAATAATTTTGGCTACTGTTCTGTTTTATGTGTAAACATCAGCGAGGCGACATAGGATAAGGTGTGCTTGCATGCGACTGTGAGTTCTCGTAACAGCAGATTATATGCATTTTGAAAATTGTTCCAACCTCTGAATTTGAACGGAAATGTTTTTCGATTGAACTTGACGGCCGAGACAAGCCAAAATTGTCAACTTTGACAAAATTGCTAAGCACAATTAGTTTAAAGAAACTCAACATTTTTATTATCAACTCAAAATCTCACGAGCTGGAACTTGTGTTTTTTTTATAAATCAAGGGATTCTGTCTTTTGCTAGCAGTGTTCAAAATGCATAGAATCTTCAACATCTTTTATTTGGAGATATTGTAATTTTCTCTTTGTTAGATTAAAATTCTATAAATGTACATCAAAAATTTTGTATTCATTATTTTTTGTAAATAATTTAATGCTGTAAATAATTCATTTTGACAATAATAAACATATAAATGTATTCTCTGTTCAGATTTTGCAAAAATAATTTTGTTTTCCCTTAGTACATCTCGAACCCTCCACTTTCTGTTTACTGTTCAGGCGTCTTACCTACTGAGCCACCGTCGCAGCTTGCTTTCCCTCAGTTGTAAAACCGTTTTATCGGAGTTTAAACTTCTCGTTTTGATATTTTTTGCAAAAGGTAATTTGCTGGGACCTAGAAGCGCCAGGTTTTGAACCTGGTGTTGCTGTGTCCGAGTCTCGCGTGCTGTCCACTCCTCTAAGTGTTCCCGCCCACCCACCCCTGGTAGACTTTTCTCTTATAGTAACCAACCGGAAATTCAAAAAGGCCTTCTTGAAAAATATCTAGTAATTTCCAAACACCCGACCCAAGAATCGAACCCCAACCCTTAGAATTTTACTAAGCCACTGAAAACACCAAGTCTTTGTGCATAGAATTGTAATTTTTTATTAAGAGAAAAATAAACTGACAATGATGTATCTACATATTTTCAAACATCTACTTGTTAAAATAGAAATTTTAAATAAGTCAATCACTACAATTTTTGAATATTAATATATGTTAAATAAAAATATTGATATCTGCATTAGCACTCGCTCAAGTTTGATTTGATAAATAAACTATCAAATGAACTAACTGACTGAGAGTTGATCTTATGATAATATGTAACAAATTATTTCAGAAAAAAAGGACAATCACATTATTTTATTCCATTTTAAACAAAACCAACGGCAGATATAGTATCCTTGTCACCCTTAATAACCCCAGGAAATATCGTGAATAAAAATTTCTCTGATATATCATAATTTCAAAAGACAAAAATACTGCAAATTGCCAAGAATTTTAAAATGTTACACCCTCTTAAAATATGTATCTGCCATCGACTTTGTTTCCTTTTAACCGTAAGGTGCTGCAATTTTTTCATGATTTGGCTATTTCTACTTTAAACGTGACATAAAAGCGCCAGACAGTTATTGCTTGGAAAGAAAAAATACGCTTTTACTATGTCTTGTCAAAAATTGTCACTAGCCGTTTGTGAAATAATTCCCAACATCTAACATCAACTAATGCGTTGAATTACATTACAAAAATCTACATTTCAAAGGAGAATGAGAAAAAATAATCACCGACGGATATTGATTATAGAGATAAAATTGTGCTGTTCTACGATTATCAAACATTGGTAAATTGAAGGGAAAAGTCATGATGAGTGATGTATTTATTTTAAAGTCCAAAAATATTATAACAAATGGTTTGTAGCTTTCTGAACACGAATTATGCTCTCACACGAGGATATAAACATTTCTGCGTATAATGTAGATGCTGCCGAGATAAAATAGCAAAAAACAGCAGAGTTTTGAAAATGGGAAAACTTTGGATCCCATGATTTTTCCCTCCATCTTCACTCATAAATTAGATATGCCCCACCAAGTAAATGCCGCAAATGCAAGAAAAATGGGTATGATTCTGTTTACAATCCAAATGAGCAAAGTTGAATAAATATTAAAAAATCGCAAAACCTATCTATGTTCCTTTTACGCACGATTTAAAAGGTAAACTTGTATTGGCCGAATCAGTTTAAAACTTCATGAAAATTTCGAAAAATTGAGTCTAAAATGTGCGAACTCTCTATACTACATTTATAAAAAAAAGTTCAATTGCGGTCCGTAAAAATGACACCTTTCACTCAGCAAGACAGCAAGTTTACAAGCTTCAAAAGATTGTACAGATACGCGTTTTAGGTGACTAGATTTTCAGTCACCTTCGCTGTGGACATCAAGACTAATGAATTTTACTGTTGGTGATATAACTTGAAAAATTTGGAAACCAACACAGACCGTAGTTTTCGTAACGAATTTTTTTACAAAGTATGCATAGAGAGAAAATTTCTGAATTTTTTCTTTTTTTTTTGTTATATAAAGGTGTTACCGTCAATGTGTGCATTAAAATTAAGATTTCTAGGTTCTGGGTAACGAGAAAAATGCTTTTAAAAACAAAAATCAACATTAGAAAAAATTACTAGTTTGATGTTTTTCAACCAACAGGAATTCGTTGAATTAATTATGCATTATTCGTAAGATCAATAGATTAAGGCTACAGCTATATCAGTACAGCGTTTATTTTTTTCTTCAAAACATCGTAACGTGAAAAAGTAACTCTTATCGGGGAAACACGCGAACGAAGTTTTTAGCGTCACTATTTTTTTGATAAACAGTGTCAGATTCAGAATATTATTTCTAGATGCTCATTTTTGTATCATGAATTGACCACGTTTTTTCCGCGAACTAAACACACGGACTTATCTTTTCTTTTTCTTTCTTTTCTTTTTCTTTTCTTTTTTTGAACGTTTTATTAGCATTTGATAAAAATAAAGTCACCACCTGCTGCCTTGCTGAGAAAATACCGCAACTAGTTTTACAAACGTCACGGAGGCAAAGCCGGACTCACAATTATAGTAAAAAACCCGTTTAAAGGCATAAGGAGCGGTTATTCTTTGGCAAAATAAAACAAGTTTTGAATATGCTGTTTTTCAAATCTTTGATTTATTTTTATAAAGACAATTTTGAAAGAAAAAAATGAAAAACCCCTTTAGACTTAGCATATTAATTACACAACGCGATATTGACATAAGTTGTATATATGAGATATATCAAAAGAACGCTCCAAGCATTATTATTATTGCAAATTAGCACAAGCAATTCGCCCCCTATGCCTTGAACTAGGTCACCTACATCAATGGATCGCAATGTTACACATTATGATGTTATTTGTGAAATCATGTCAAAATTACAAATGGCGATATATCACTAAACCTTTTCCTATTGTTTACTTTCGAATGTGACTATTTTGCTGTATTATTATTATGACACGTAATTTTACTAACAACCACTCATTAAATTTCAACAGGTAAAAATTTAAAAGTGCCATTCCTCAGAATTCTCCCCACCTTGACTATTTCGCATGTAAAGCTTTACTAGCGCTACAAATTCAACTGGTGTAAATGAAGAGCAACTCCAATTTTCACTTTTACATGTGTTACGTGATAAAATGAAGAAAACATGGAGGACATAAAACGTCACGTGGGGAAAATACTGAGGGACGGCAAAACCTAGTTATAAACAGGCAGAAGTCAAGTCGTTTTTTTAAAAATGAAGCAAAGATAAGTTTACAACAAATACCTAAAACCAATGTCTTAGAACTTTACGCTGAATCGGTTAAAATCGAAATATCCATATGCTTGGTATCCTGACCGCCTCATGTCCACTCCCTGGTCACTCAAAACTAAAGAAGAAGTGACATCTCTTTCAAGGGTCCAGGTTAAACATGATCCAAGGGGGTAGTAGGAAGGTTGAGCGAGGTGACCTCCCTTTAATTTTTACCATTTACCATTACCATTATTTGACAGACAAATTTTGATTAACAATCTACTAAAATGGTAATGCACAGGAAGCTTTTTGTGTAGTGCATATATCAAAATACACTAGATTAAAATAAGTCTCGGACCCTTACACACCCCAAGGTAAAATGGCATTATGTAGGTCACTGACTATCCTTGTATGGTCTACCGCATGCTGGAATCTGAGCAGTTTTTACACCGTTGGCATGCCAGACCGTACAATAGCGCCATCTGGAGGGGAACAGAAATGATCTTCTCTGCTGCAATCGGTAGTTTAGCTGATTGTTTTAGTGTGTGTGTGTGTGTGTGTGTGTGTGTGCGCACACCTGTGTGCTTAATCTTCAGCGCCGCAGAAATGACTGTAGCATGCAACTGGCATATATACAAACTTACATATATACGAATAAATAAAAGCCATTTATGAGAATAACTACACGCGTATCATCTCTGGTCCCGGTTAGTTGTCATTTTGATCTATTAATTGCATGAATCCAATATCCATGCAAAACGACCTTAAGAACGTCACCAGTCTACAATTATTTAAAAAAAGTGATGACAAGTGAAAGTAAATTTATTATTAAATTTTAATTGAAGCGATGAAATATAACATGTAAACTATCCCAATTGGTCAAGTATTTTAACCGAACTGAAAAGAAAAAAACATGCATTCTCAATATTGATATATTTTCATCATGGCAACTTCAAAAATTGAAACAAAACTCTCCCGCTAGGCTATGCGATATATAGCGACAACGCTCGTGTGACGCTTTTACGGTGACTAACATGTATAATGCGATGGGAGCACTTGTTTTTTGGGGCGGAATTAACCCTTTGAAAGGTCCTTTCCTATTTCAAGAAGATTGTACCTTATGGGACACTGTGGTTTGATTTCTAAGCATAGCATATGCGGCTCAACACATTGTTTTAACATGTTCATAACAGAAAAGAAAACAATTGCATAAACGAATTTTTGATTTATTAGAGGTATAAATACATCTTGTCAATTTTCACTTCGATGCAAAAAAAACAAAAATTAAACTCATCTGAAGAAATCCACATTGCGGTTTAAAGAGACTATAAATGTAAATTACCACATTTTAAATGTTAAGTATTAAATTAAATCTACCAGTATATATAAAAAGACAAATAAAATTACTAAGTAGCTGACTCACCTACCATATTGCTAAGTGGTATATAGCAATGAACACAAGAACGGTTAATCTTCTTCAATTAAAAACACATAACAAAATCCCACCATTAACAAAACATACCACAACAAAAAGAACGTGATGCCCGTATTTTGAAAAACCCGTAGAAAATATCCACCAAAACTACGTCCCCACTGCAAAATGCTAATAGTATCTATATGAAGAAACAGTTTCGAAATTAGAAATTTTCCGAAAAAGTTTCAAATAAAATGCTGTAAATACCGTATCCCAAGTTATTTTAAATGTGTGTTTGAAAGCACTCACAACCGGATCAAATATGGTTAACCCATTTGAAAGCTTGCGTGAATAATCCCCGCGGGGAATCTATCCAGTGTGTTGGCCGATAATGCGGCAAACTTTCAAGTTGGTCAGACGTGTTCGATCCGTGGACTAGTTAGTCCGCGAATCAATTGGTTGTGAATGCTCTCTATGACACTTTTCCATTGTTCCTACCCACGGCCAGGTCCAATGTCCAATTTTCTTGAAAACATCCCCTGCATCTAAATTTACCTATAAAACGCGTGTAAAATAATCGTCGACCAAAATGTCCTACGTATAACCTTTGGCAGGAATACCGGAATGTTTAGAAGTATTATTCAAATACTGATATCACACAAAGAAGAGAATGCATCTTTATAAACAGAATATTAGCAGTTTTCTATTTCCAGTAGCCTGACCCATGCTTTTGGTACCATTGAATCGTCTGTTTCAAACCTTCTTCCCAGCTTGTCTTGGGTTTCCACCCCAGTAGATGGAGCTTTGACGAGTCGATGACGTAGCGGATGTCGTTATACGGACGGTCTTTCACGTGCTCAATATTCAGCGGTTTTCCCAAAAGTCCATGCAGCTTTTTGGCTATGGCCATCACGGAATGCTCGTTGTTCACGCCAATGTTGTAGATATTGCCCACCGTTCCCTTGTGTAGGAGCAGATCAAACGCTTCAACGGCATCATCCACGTAGAGGAAGTTTCGTTCGTTTTGGCCGTGGCCATAAATTGGACAAACTTTGTCTTCAATGATGCTAAGTAGGAAAACTGGAATGACCTGAAATAAGAAATGTCGAAAATAAGTAGGAAAACTGGAATGACCTGAAATAAGAAATGTCGAAAATAAGTAGGAAAACTGGAATGACCTGAAATAATAAATGTCGAAAATGCGACTCATCGCATGCAAAGAACACAAAGGGCATTCTATCTCAATACGTAGGTGGGTTCTTAACGTCTCGCCTACTTTATACAATTTTTATCTCTCTCATATATAACGCATAACCACAGGCGATGCAAGCCAGTTTCCTCCTTCTCACTGTTTTACGTCAAAAAAAAAAAAAAAAAAAACACGCCCAGAATAAGTAAGTCCACATTTTGTGGGCAAGAACCATTTATCGTTAAGAAAGGGTTTTCGTTCTAGGAGACTTTGAAATACCAGTGTCTCGCTTTTCATTAATCAAATATCTTTCTTTAGTCTATAGTTACCTGTTTCAATTGCTTTTTTTAAATATTAATACATATTCTGATTTTTTTCTTTAATTTCGTTATAACCGTTTATCGAATATCTGATTACTTTTTTTATTTATCTGAATCAGCCTACCTTCTCCGGGTACTGACACGGCCCGTACACGTTGTTGCTGCGTGTGATGATGACGGGGACATGGAAGGAGTGATGGTAAGACTGGACCAACATCTCAGCCGCCGCCTTGGACGCCGAGTACGGGTTGGTCGGGGTCAGGGTGGCGGTTTCTTTGCGCGGAATCCCGTCTAAGGCTTCGCCATAGACCTGCCACGAGGAGAAAAAAAACAGTATTGTTGAAAATAAAGGAGATTGTGGAGGCAGTCTGATAGTGTGTGTTGGGTAAAAACACATTTGTTAAACCAACGACTTTCTAACTTTTTCTGTAATTGAGCATTTTGGATAAATAATTATTTTAATTGTTATCATAATTCATTTATAATATTTGATTGTATTTACACTATACATAAAAAACAACCCTTATTGACTGTAATTTTCTTAAAAAGTTTTCATTAAAAGAATGAAGACAATTATCTAAAAAATAGCAATAATGAGTACAGTATATTCAGAAAATCCAAATACTAAAGTATAGTTATACTAATAACAATAATGATAATGAAAACAATAGAACACATTTTCAAAGAAATGAATAGACCGATGCTCCATTTTACACCTCCCAAAAGATCAGGAAACTACAGGAAAGAAAAATTTATCAGTATTAGCTTGGACCCACCATACATGTATAATGGATCCAAAGTTTTAGATAAAACATACCTCGTCAGTGCTCACATGGAGGAAAAGATTCACGCCAAAAAACTTGGCGCAGTGCAGGAGAGTATGAGTCCCGATGACATTGGAGTTGGTAAAGTCGTTGGATTTACTGAACGAGTTGTCAACCAGAGTTTCCGCGGCAAAATGCATCACTGTATCGATCTGATAAGTCTCGAAGATTTCCTTCATCTTTTCAATGTCGGAGACGTCAGCTGAAACAGAGATGCTGGGGTCGTAAAATCAGTGGCGTAAACTATTGAAGTTGTTTCTAATTTTTTTCTATTACTTTTTCTTTTGTGAAAGTGCTTTTCCGAAGTTATGAACTTGTACTACAGGAGCTCAATTTTTTCTTGGAATAGATAATTTCAGAGACACTTCAAAATTTTCCCTTTTATGATTTTTGCATCTGACCTTTCGCGTCAACGCTATGTAGGTTTAACAGTTGACACCAAATCATTGTAATATGCATGACTATGCATTTACAATAGTGTAACACAAGCACAACAACTGCAATTCCCATTCAGTATAGTAAGTGACACACAGTGTATCATACCTCTGATGAAAACAAAAATGGATTTTCCAACCATAACTATTAAAAAACCCAGTGAGTATAACCAATACAAAGTGACATACCATACCTTTAATGAAAACAAAATTTGACTTTCCTTTCGAAGCATCGAGATTTTTCTCATTAGCGCAGTACGTCATCTTATCCACGACCACAACATTGTAGTATCGATATCGCTCCACGAGATAATTGGCAACGTGGGACCCAATGAACCCAGCGCCACCTGTGAGCAAGATATTTTTCCGGATGTTCTTCTTCATTCGTTCAAAAACACCCTGAATGGCGACGCTGATGTGGGGAATCTCATGGTTTGGGAGAGCTGCTTCGAGTTTAGTGGTGTCAAGGCAGTTATTTGAGCGGCCTGCCTTCACCAGGGTTTTCAGTTCTTCAGGGTCCACCAGCTCGTACTTGTGGTTGGGGTCGATGTTGCTCTTGTACAGGGCTAAGATCTCGGAGTGGCTGATCACACCGGGGTTGACAAAGTTGTAGACACCTTAAATAATCACGTCCGTTGTTAATTTACATACTGGCACGCACCCCGCTTAATTCAGCGTCAATAGGTTATTTTTCTCCCTTGTTTAACAAAAAACTTTAGCCCGAGCACTTACGGAAAATATTAGAACCAATGTTCCGTCTTGTACATGTTTCAACCTTAGATAACATTTTAAGTGAAATTATGCGCCCATATCATAACAAATATGGCATGGTTTATGTTTTAGGTACCGGCAAAACAATTATGTATTGCACGATCTGGTCTAAGTTAAGGTCCAATAGTGATTCAGAAAGTTTTTTCACGTCTGAAGATAAATTAACAGTAGATGATATCTCATAATTAGGGACATTCCCCAATTGAACGATGCGTCTGTACGCACAGCTCCTGGAGACGGTTTAAATACCGAATTTCCGTCAAATCGATCTAAACATTAAGACAAAAAATGAAGACTCATGAAATTAAACAACTGTACCAGTAGAATGGAAATTTTTTCTGGGAATAATATTTTGATTTTCTTGTATCCGAGACAAATAAGATGTTATACGTAATTGTACCTGTGATTCCTTTTTCCATCATCACAAATGAAAGGGGAAGAAGATCGTATAAAACGCTCATAGCGTTTGGGATGTCGCAAATCTTTGGGTAGTTGGTGATCTTTGTGATGAAGTTCCTTGGGTGAAGGTCGTCTGAGATAGGCATGCGCACACGGAGAGTCAAAACATTGGTGTAAGAATGCAGCAACCTAAAATGAGAAAGTAACAATAAAGAACTTGGAGAAATATTGTAATATTGAAATATTAACATGAAAGAGAGAGAGAGATGTGCTCAGTAGTTGGTACCTGTATTGGTACAGTGCGTGAGCAAAAATTAGAACATTAGATTCCATCGTTTCTTTTAAAGTATTTTCATTGATTGAGTTTAAATGTATACATATTATATCAGTGATGTCTTTTCCTCATGCTTTTTTTTTCACCATCTCTGGCTGGCAGATGAATTAAAACATATCACCTGGTGTCTGCAATGCTAACACACTCGATGTTGGTGACACGTATGAGAGGCGAATTTTCACAGGTTAAAAAACTGACATCACTGACCTTTCTGCCATGGCCTTTGTCTTGGAATAAAACGACCCTTCAAAATTAGGAACATCTTCCTCCGTAAACCCCCTTCCCCCGATAGAGTGTTTCTCGTCGTACTCATAAATACAGCCAGTGCCGAAGTAAGTCACGTGGATCCCTCTAGCGGCGCACAGATCAACTACAGTCAGTAGACCGGTGACGTTGGAACGGATGGTCTCTTCTTGGTGGTTTTCGCACCAATCGACGTTGGGTCGTCCTGTTACCCCTAGAACATGTGAGATACAGAATAGTATCGCGTCCATAGTGTTTAATATGTATTTATATAAGGCACAAAATGAAACTTACAGTATCGGTCTCGCCGTTATACAGGGAAAAGTTTTGAATTTTCCATGATGACCAAGGAACACACACACACATATATATAGGTTATTTTAATATTGACAAAACATGCGTAAAACATACTTTCGAGTGCTTTATTTCTAAATTTTATAGTCACGAAGGTGACTGTGGTAATAAAATGAGTTCGTAAATGTGTGCGAAAAGGTCGTTAAAATATAACGTGAGTGTGCTTTTGTACACTGTACCAGTCGTTTATGCAATAATATAACTTCAATGACCACATTCTCTTATGGGCACGACAAAGATGGCCCTGTTTACTAGTTTACGGGAAGTAAATGAAATACGACAGAACATATTGAAGAGAGCACGGTGAAATTTTGCCTTTTTCTGGCAACGTGCTGACAATCCACGTTTCAAAGCACGGTAGAAAAAATAGTAAAGAATTTGATTTATAAATACAGGTGGAGTACATGTATTTCACTCGAATCAAAGTGTTTTATCGTGATATGCATTGACGATCCGTAGAACACTCAACAAAGGCTACTATCTCTGATATTCATATCAAAAGAAACTAATGTTACATTTGAAGCCCCTTTTCACATGTTGCAATATATTCATCTGTATTGAAATATTTTACTGGCCCGAACACGTTATTGCACTACAGAAAAAAATCGGGGGTGTTCCCTTTCATCTTTTCGCTTCCAACTCTGTGTGGAATCAAAATTAATCTAGTGAACTCCCCGTGGAAGCGGCGGGGGGGGGGGGGGGGGGGGGGGGGGG